TAAGGAGCACGTTATCCAAGCACAACGCAAAAAATCTCTGCACTGGAGCATGCAATTCCCATCCTCTCGGCCAGCAGTGTCACATAGATGAAACAACACATAAATCCCGGACTCTCTACCCTTCGCCAACAAAGCTGGTGGAGTCTTTCTAACCATATGTGCAAAACCAATCAGTCCCGCGAGCTTCTAATACACTCCAGGATCCTACAGCAGCTGACTTGTGAGAGCTGGGTCAGACTGGGACGCACATGGTTTGTCTGGAGCACAGCACAGGAGCCAGGATAGCAGCTGAAGCCCAGTAGCTGAGGCAATACGCCACTGGAGAGGGAGGCAGGCAGCCTGGGGAAACAGCCCCTGGGTTCAGCCGGTGAATAACTGGTACCACTTGCAAAGGCTGCTTTGCAGAAAACTACTGTGTCCAAATGCCAGTCACAGAGTGGTTGCTGCAGTCTGACTGGTAGCAGGGTTTGCTCACAGGAGTTCATATCCAAATGCAGAACTCCCAGTGCAGCCCTTGTTCAGGATGAAACACTGGCACACTCCTCATCTCCTAGAGAAAAAACAACCCCCCAAAAGCTAGAAAAGACTCTCTGCTTAAATGGAGGCTGCTTCTAAGCTGAGATTTCAGCTTTACCATTGTAGCTGGGCCTTAAAAGCAGTTGGTACTGTCTTTAAAGCACATCCCATGCGTTCTCCTCTCCTCCCCAAACTCACATAGTCCTAAGCTTGGGACAAGGGATTTTACTCAAGTGTCTACAAATATTGCTTTTGTGCACAGACTAACAGGAAATCTCATTACTTGAGGGGATTTATAAGAAAAAAGGCAATAAGGCTTCAGACTCTAGCAGCTGTCTGACCACCCAAAGTAAACGCGAGCAGAAAGCAGGGCAGATGCCACAGGATCCGTAACAGCACAAAAGCTCCTTTCTCCCGTTAAGGGTGAGATTTGTTAATAATGATTGCCACTAAATTGGAGTTACAAGAAACAGCAAAGATGGGGTAACTGCAAAGATGATGCAGTGAAGAAGCAGCCAACTCTGTCTATAGCACACTGGGTAGTAAGTCTGGGGAGAAAAGATCCCCCCTCACACATATTCTAGAGAAAGCCTAAAACAAAGGAGCCCTCAGTGGGCTGCCAGTTAGGGAGTATCTACAAGGTTTTGTGAAACAAAATTTGGGACTGTGTTGGAAAACAGATACCAGCATTACAAGGCAGCTGCTGCTGTAAGAGGTCTGGGTTTACTTTGCTACTGATAGATTTGAATGATGCCAATGCCCAAAAAGAATTCAGCAAACTTGAGCAAAAATACAGAGAAAGCTATCAGCAGGTTGGAGAAGCTGACTCATAGCAGAGGCCACTAATAACCCAACACAGATATTTTAAGCACACCACCATAATCGTTCCAGTGGCAACTTGATCCGCTGCACATGTGTCTGAACAGGGTGCTTGCCAACGAGTGGAGAATGGGTCAGTACGGCTCAGGCAGGAACACGGGATGAAATATCAGAGACAGCTTCCTGAAAGGGAGATATTCTCAGCCAGGGAATATTCCTCAAAAGGAGGCAGGGGAAACACGATCACCAGAGTGAGCCTGGGCCTGATCAGAGCACCAGGAATGCTTCAGCTGGAAATGTACTGACAGGAACAGGAATTTAGGGTGGAGGGGTGTTTTTTCTACTTTTAACACCTAAAAGGGACAAAGAGAAGCATTACCCATGTCCACAGCCCAAATGTGCCAGCAACAACCCACTGAAACATCCAAATGCCTTCCACATTTGGTGAGAAAAATCTGGCATTGTATCCCTGCAGAGATGCTCTTAGCCAGGAAAAGCAGCATGCAGGACCTGTTCACATGGAGAAGGGCCTGTGGGGGAAGCCTCACCTCAGCCAGCTGCTGCTGCCCAAGGGTACCCAGCCCTCGCTGCAAGGAATTCTCCAGCTGTGCTTCAGCATTTGGTTTCACTGCTCCCTCCTCTGCTGGGGGTTGGATCTCTTCACTGCCCAGGAGTTGGTGCTTCTCCTTCTTCAGTTCTCCCTCCTCCAGGCACCTGTCATGGATCAGATGCCTTAGTATAGGAGAAGGAGGACTTCTCAGCCTCCAAAAGTTTGATTGAGAAAACCTTCTGCATGTTTTGGGATGGAGCAAACAACCCATATGAATTTTACTCTCAGATCACAGATTAATTACCGTGGTTTTGGCTCAATTCCCCCATTTCCATCCACCTTGCTGACCTGCAACTTCCACTCCTACCTACCTCCCTCTTAGACTCTTTCTCCAAAACTTGGCCAAAACATTTTGATCCTGACCTGTGGCTACCTGCTACTCCATTCCTTATTTCCTCTTGTGCCTAGTTGTCCATTCTCTCTCTACTTTTCATCTGCAATAAGTAAGAAACAGCATTTAATCCTCAGCACTTTTAAAAGAAATCTCCTTGTTATCACTGATGGATTAGCACCTGTAGCACCTGTAGCAAGTGATTAGAGCTGCAAGGAGTTGCAGTCCGAGATCTTGAGCAGAGGTCAAATTTTAGTGCTGTTCAGTTTAGGACAACAGCGCTGTAGGGAGGAATGACAGCGTGGTCTTTGCATACCTGCGAGGGATAAAGACACTGTAGCCAGCAGTACTCAGCAGCTTCTGGTCTCTGATGCAAGCACTTAGCCAGGATGCCTTCACTAGCTGCAACCCTGAAGGCAGCTTGGCCAATTTAAGGAGCCGAAAGGCCCGATCACAGTCCATGTCTTCAGCCACAATGACGTGCGTCACCTCTGAGGAGAGCTGGCTGTGTACAACACCCCCATTCTGGACAATCTGCTTGTGGAAGATCTCCACCCTGGCTTGGCCGATGCCGGCTTGCAACACGTAGGCGGTGACTGGTTTCATCCACTCTGCTGAGGAAAACACAGGCGCAGGAACTCAGCGACAAGAGAAACTGTCCCAAGCCACCTGGGCAACATATTTTACGCAGGACTTGATGGCACCAACAGTGGCAGGCATTCTTTGGGGGGCACCAGCTGGACACATCAAAGCAACCTGGCCATGACCTCTACAGAAAACACACTTTGGGGCCAGAAAAAGCCTTTGGGGCAACAGCACCCCCAGTTAACAAGCTGGGGTAGGAGCAGTATATTCCATGTCATGGGCACGTAGGACTTACCCTCAGGTATCTCTGTTCCCTCCTCTTTTGGGATCTTCGGAGGGATGCTTTTCCCCGAGTCATCCCTCACCTTCTTTCTCTTGGGAAAGGCTTTGACAATCCCTCGTGCCTCCATAGGCCTGATGAGAAGTTTAGCTGCAACTGCTGAATACCAATAAGAAAGAGGAAGGTTGCTTAGAACAACATTACAGAATCACAACAACTTATGATTCACTCATTTTGATTGCTGTCTTTGTTTTTTTATTGTTTGGGGTTTTTTTTCTGTTGTTGCCTTCCAGAAATGCTCACTCTGAGGAACGCACCTGCAAACAAGAATTGTAGCCCACAAGGTCAGAAATATCAAAGTTAGAAACCACCAAAAAGCCACTTGAGAAGACCCTGCTTGAATACCTTAGAAACCACTAAAGCTCTGTTCTTATAGTAGAAAGTATTCAACTACTTTAACATTTTGGAGCTCCTTCCTACTCAGCCAACAGAAGCAACTTCATTTCCCCAACATTTCTTAAGCACATTCCCATGAAGGAGAGGAAATGCCTCTCCTGCCAGGACTGAAATCCTGTCACCAACGAGCAGAGATGAAGCAGATGATCAACACTAAGCATTTCAGACAGCCACAGGAGGAAAAGCCCCAACCCAGCTTCAGCTGGAAACAGCAGATTAGCAAAGATTAACTAGCCAAGCCCAATACAGTTACAGCTGTAGCTTTACCATCACAAACCTTGCAAAAGCGACCTTTGGAGCTTTAACTACTGGCCCAGGCTACCAGCAAGTCTGGCTTTCCGTAGCCCCAGCAGACCCCAAATCGCCATCCATGCCAACAGCCCCTTCCCCGGCTGCGGCATCGCGCTGACACCAACACGAGGGTTTCCTCTTCGTGCAGCACTCCGTGCTTTGACTCGAGGTTTCCCACAAGCAAAAAAGCACAAACCTGTCACGTTTAGCTGAAAGTGGTCCCACTGGGCCGCGTCTTCTCCCCGCAGTCGCCTTCTCACCCAGGTGCTAAACAGACCCCTCTGAAAGACCCACCCAGAGCTGGACTCAAGTCCCTGCTCCCACCAGGAACGGTTCGGTTTCAGGGGAGAAGAAACCCTGCTATATTTCTAAAACTCTGCTTCATAGAAACGTTTCTGTTTTCAGGACGTTTTGACCAAAAAAGACCTCTGATGACAGTAATATTTTCTATTAGACACAGAAAACATCCATCCCAACACCTCCCCAGCTTCCAGGCGCCCGAGCCCTCCGCGGGACTTGGACGAGCACGTCCCTCTGTAGTGCTTTACCTCATCTGAACCCAGAC